AAACTTATGGCTATAATAAAACATACATGGATATTCATTGCAGCTTTATCCATAATTGCCAAAAATTGGTGTGAGCTCATTTATTCTTCAGTAAACATTGTGTAGGATTGCCAGTGCATGGTGATAATAAAGAGTAGACCTACTTTCTTTTGTTCTGTTTTTACCTTTTAACTTTCCTATTTTTATTTCGAAAGCAAAAAAAAAAAAAAAAAAAAAAACAGCAAGAAAGGGAGAAGGAAAGGAATTGGGAAGGAGGGAGGAAGGCAGGTGGGCAGAAAGAGAATATCATTACATCCGTAGAATGGCATCTACAAATAACATGGAATCTATGTTTAAAAAGCTAATTAAAATTAAAATATAAAATAAAATATGAAACATTTTAAAAGACAGAATTTAATTCATATTTATATAAAGAGAATGGGTTGTTATATATAATTATACATATAATTTTATATAACAAATTATGTAATATGTAATTTGTTATAATTATATAGTATTATATATTATGTATATATAACATACACAATATAATATATATAATTAAACATAGTATCATATATTATAATATACAACATACAAAATATGTAATATATTACATATTATATAATACATTATACAATATATAATATGAAATATAACATATATATAGATATATATGTTATATATATATAAAATTTTAAGCACATATTGATACTTCCCACCTTCTTTCCTCCTTCCTTTCCTTATTTTTTCTTCTTTTACATTTTTGTTACAACATTATTTCAGTGTACCTTTTCATCATAGGCTTAATTCTCAATCAAACAAATAATTCAATACGTATAAATTAGGAAGATCACCAACCTGGTGAAGTACAGACAAGATCTATAAACATTAATGAACTTTCAAGGAGTCAGTTTTACTCATTCCAATTACAGTTTTGAAACTGTGTATATTAGCTACCACAAATCAAAAAAGAGCATGTGACGGTTATCTCTGGGTGACTGGCGTATCACACTAAGCATTTGGTCATAATACATCCTTTATGTTCTGCACCAAGGGTCAACTGCTTCCACTGGCCCCATCTTCCTATACTGCTGCTGAAAAGTGACAGTATCACTAGCAAAATGCCTGCAATGACATTGCTGTCCTTCTGCTATAGCGTGAGCAAGGCACCCCCAAGAAAAACTGGCTTTAAAAATAGAGGCAATTTCTGAAACCCATCTTCATAACCCTGTTTTCCTTGCCATAACCATGGCTCTTGGCCCTTCAGCCCTTTAGTCAGGTTTTTGCTATTTCTTACAACAGTGGGCAATTGACAAAGGATCCAAAACAGCTGGGTAGACATTGCTCTGCTCTGTATATCCGAAGAATGATGCTGCCCTTCTCCCCATAGAGAACAAATGCCTCACATGATTTCAAAGAATCTCTATGCCTTTGATTTACCTTGTCTACATGGCACCCAGCAGGTGAGTCTTTGGATTATGTCTATTTAATCTAGGGTTATAATGTCTTCTACCTGACAACATGGATTTCATAAACAGCACTAAGCATGGAGGGAAGAATTAAAAAAAAAAAAAAGATACAAAGACAGCTAGCTCTGTACTATGCTGATTTCTTTCTTTTTTTTTTTTTTAAGATTTATTTATTTGGGGCCCAATGGGGTAGCCTAGTGGCTAAAGTCCTTGCCTTGCACATGCCCACATGGGATCCCAGTAAGTGCAAGGTGAGAACTTTAGCCACTAGGCTACCCCGCTGGGCCCACACTATGCTGATTTATACTTAGTGTCAATGGGAGAGAACTTTGACCCCTGACTTTATTTACTGAGCATTACTTCCATCTTAACCGAATTGATGTACAATTAGAAAGGCTTTGCTTAGCCCCGTGAAATGGCATTGTTTACATTGATATTATGAGGTAGTTTATTCTATTGCTTATTATGTGATAATGTGTAATAAACCTGGCTACTCATGATGGTGTATGTATGTACATTTGCATATTGCACCCATGTATGTACACACACACACACACACTCACACACACTATTCTTGCCATATGTTGTTTGAAAGTCCAAGCCACAGTGGTGAAGGTGATAGCTCTGGTTTAAGAGTTGGGCAGAGAGGGGAGGGAAGAACACTATTATTTCTTGGCTGCCCATGGTATGCCACATACTTTGCTTGGGAATGTCACATGTCTTAACTCATTTGATATTCACATACACCTGTAAAGTAGGTGCTATTATTATTTCTGGGTCATGGATGAGGAACTCAGGGTTGAGAGAAGTGGAGTAAGATGATCATGTAATGCCATTTCCCTGCTATTTAAAAATCTAAATCTTTTTGCTTGAGGATAAAAGTTCTAAATCCTTCAGTTTCCACACTGATCAGGTTCTAGATCCTACGAACCTCCCTAGTTTAATCTAGGTCCTTCTTCCTCTTGCGATAGCTGCTCCCACCACACTGATCTTTGTTCAGTTCCTTTAATGTGGCATATTTTCATGCAACGGGACCATTGCTCATGCTGCACTCTCTATCCAGGTGTCTGCTTAGATGTCACGTTCACGTGGAAGCTTCTTGTAGCTGCTCCCTTGACAGTTTCCTTAACACTGTGTTACTGCCATTTGTTGTGTTCTTCCATCTCACTTTGCATCCTATGAGTTCACAGGTTCAGAGTATGTTTTTCTCATTAAATGAAGTTTCCTGTCCATAGCCTTTTCTATTCTGTGTTCTGTCTGTAGCACCTGCCTGACAAATGATAAGTGCTCAATAAATGTTGGTAAAAGAAGTATACATTTGTGCCTGGCATGGTAGCCTAGTGGCTAAAGTCCTCCTCGCCTTACACACACTGTGATACTATGTGGGCACCGGGATTGGAACCCATCCAGCTCCCTGCTTGTGACCTGAGAAAGCAGTGGAGAATGGCCCAAAGCCTTGGGACCCTGTACTCACGTAGGAGACCCAGAAGAAGCTCCTGGTTCCTGGCTTCAGATCAGCTCAGCATTGGCTATTGTGGACACTTAGGGAGTGAATCAGCACATGGAAGATCTTCCTCTCTGTCTCTCCTTCTCTCTGTATATCTGACTTTCCAATAAAAATAAATAAATCTTTTAAGAAAGTGTACATTTAAGCTCTCTGTAATTGATTGCTTAGTAGGTGTTCAGTAAATGTAATAAAAAAAAAACACATATAGTTGTTATTACTGTTGCCCAAGAGCTGCCAAAACAACAAACAAAACTCATTCTTGACCCAACACTGTCCCAATAGGCAGTCTAACTTAGAATGAGACAGTAAATCATTTTGAATCTCAGGTTTCCATCTGTGGGAGGATAGGCAACGTTCAGATTGTTTTGTAGGTAGCTTAGAAAGGAAGTTGAAGTCTGAATGAGAGAAGATCTAAGTGAATAAATCAATAAATGATCAAGTCAAATCAATATCATCTTTTGGCGGGACAATCGACCAGCTGGACCAAGAGCTTCCCTCAAAGGATTTATACTCCTCAGTCTGGCAATCCCAGTCAAAAACAGTATGGCATGAAAGTTAATGACATGTAGGCTTGGGTGTTAGTCCAGAATTCAAATATCAATACCCAAATTCCCAATTATATGATCCCAGGAAAATTTCTGTACTAAACTTCAATTTGGATAATATCTCAAATTGGATAATATCCAACCTTTTACCCTTTTATAAGGTAAAACAGCATATAACAGGTAAAGAATCTTTTTTAATATATAGAGGAAGATAATCCTCCCACAATGCTGCCCATCTAATAGTGCTTTTTCCCCTGTGGTTCTGTGTTATTGAGTGCTCCTTCTTCAGGCAGGAGCCACAGTAATTCTGAGAAAGGAGACAGAAACAGGCATGTGTCAGAGGCCACAGTCAGCTGTGGAGCTGCAGTTCCTGTGTGATAGACTGAGGCAAATGGGGAAGGCCACAGGCTGAGGCAGAAGGAGATGCCAAGTGGAAGTAAAATGGCTAATGACTAGATAGGTCCTAAGTTCCAGAAGTTAGGGAGCAACTGGGAGTATACAACAGGGTTAGAGGCACCTCCATCCAAAATGTTGAGCTTCTGTACCATAGCCAGGCTTCAAAGTGCTAGTTCCTTTTCTCATTTAGTCAAATGCATGCATGTTTTGAAATTGTAGTCTTAGTGTGTGCTCTTTTTCATTGAGTACCTCTCCCACACTTTCCATGCCACAAAACTTTGCCAAATATTCTATTTTTTGACGGTCTAAAAAATGTAGCTCTTTATATTAACTTTCTGCTTTTTAAACCTACTTTCTTAGAATAAATTCCTAAAATATTGTGGTAGGGATTGCTAAGCCAGAGTATATAGTTTGGATTTAACAAGCAGGAGCAGATTTTTGCTTATCTACACAAGAGAAGTATCCCACAATAATTTCCTTTCCTTTCCTCTTTAGGAATTAACAGGTAGACTCTCTAACTCTGTGCTTTGCACAATAAAAGCAATAAGCCACATGACTGATTAAATTGAAATTTTCATTGAAATTAAATAAGGCTCAAAATTAATTTCCTCAATGCATTAACTGTATTTTAATTGCTCAATAGTTACATTTTCCTAACGGTTAATGTAAAGCACAGATACAAAAATTTTTCTTGGCTACAGAAAGTATTTTGGACAGTATTTCTCTAGAACTTTTAGGAGGTCAATGTTGGCATCTTGAGTGGGGGAGCTCTCTGTGGCTGTGCATCAAAAGCATGTTCTGCCTTGAATTACTGTAAGAGTTAAAATTTGCTGCACATTTGCAAATGTCCTATGAGGGGGAAAAATTAACCTTATTTGAAAGCCATGGAACTTTCATCTTCAAAGAAAGCATCTAACATTTTGGAAATTAGTTCAGGCTGTTTTTTTTGTCTGAAAACAGGAGGCTTGGGAATATGATTTAAAAAGAAAGTCCTGTCTCAGGGCCTAACTCTTGTACTCCAGTTTCTAGTTTTATTTTTCTCCATTCTCTAGTTGGTTTGTTTCCTGCTTTTTTTTTTTTTTTTTTTTTTTTGAATTGCAGGAACAAAACTTTGCAGATGGAGAAGATCAAGGCCCGTCTGAAGGCTGAGTTTGAGGCACTGGAATCAGAGGAAAGACACCTGAAGGAATACAAACAAGAGATGGATCTCCTGCTACAGGAGAAGATGGCCCATGTAGAAGAACTTCGTCTGATCCATGCTGACATCAATGTGGTATGTGGCTGACTACCTGGAGCCCACCTCTGGGCTCTTTGAGGAAGAGTAAGCACTTTAACATTGAGGAAAGTAAGTGCTCTGCCTTTTCCTTGAGACATGGCTGTGGTCAACCTGTTGGAGCTGGCATCAGGCTGTGGCAAAGTGGAATATACAGTTTCTGAGATCCAGCCCTGGCTTGTCATTCATTTACTTTGTATAACCCTTTTGCCAGGTTCTTACTTTCCTTCTCTTCACTAGATGAGGGACTTGGTAACCTATAAGGGCTCTTTTGGTTCTGATATGTTCTCATTTTGGGATTCTAAGAGTAGAAGCGTACCTTTGGGGGGAAAAAAAGCAAAATGAGCTCTTGCTGCTGTGGTATAAGCTTCAGTGCAAAAGAGCTTCTAAGGAGGTCAAATAAATCATCTCTCGCTGCAGGGATTCCTCATTAAAGGCCTTCCTAACAAATTTTTGGGATACAGGGAATTAACTGTTTGCCAAGGCTTCCTTCTTTTGTAGTTATCCGAGCAGGGTCTGAATGGCTACCTGACTGGACTGTTGTATTGATTCCTTCACCAGGAAGGATATTGGAGAAACTAATCTGTAAGGTACTTTCCAACCCTTAAAGCCTATAACAAGGGGAAATATTTGTTAAATTCACTATTGAAGTTTCTGTTCTTGAGAAAGCCATTTGTGTGGCAATGCCCATTTCCTGATGTTATCAGGCCTAATATGAAGGAAATATGAATGGAATTTGGGCAGTTGGCACTTGAGATGTTTTCATCAGAGATCACAGATTTCTGAACTTCATGAGCAATTAGCCACTCTGCTGTCATTTTGCCAATGAAATGGATAAAAAGGTCTGAGAATCTAGGCCACCGTATCCCAAGGAAGTGTTTACCTGGGGGAAGTCCCTTATTCTCTCTTGACCCTCTGTTCTCTGACCTGTAAAATGGTGATGTGGTGTGCTAGCCATTTCATTTTTTAAGGTTCTATATTTGAACATTACTATTTACTAAGCTTTTGCTCTGTTAGCGACTATCCAGAGTCTTTTATATCTATTGAATAATTGAATATTTACTCGGACTGCACAATGTAGGCATCATTACTACCTCCATCAGGCAGATGAAGAAATCAAGGTTTTATCAGAGTCACATAGGAAGAACTTGACAGATTATGAACACGAACATAGATCGATTTGGCTCTGGAGCCTGTGTCATTATTCGCTCAGCAGCAGAGCTTCTCTGAGAACCTGGGAATCTTTTCTTTGTCTGTCTCACTTTATTTTCTAGATGGAGAACACTATCAAACAGTCTGAAAATGACTTAAATAAGCTTCTGGAATCTACCCGGCGGCTGCATGATGAGTATAAGCCACTGAAGGAGCATGTGGATGCTCTCCGAATGACTCTGGGCCTGCAGAGGCTGCCTGACTTGTGCGAAGAGGAGGAGAAGCTGTCCTTGGAGTAAGCTGACTGCCCCTTGGCCTTAGAACATATCCCCCCCACCCACACATATGCGTATGTATACATACATAAAACCTGGACAGCCTGAATACCAGGGTATTTAGTGCTATCTCAGGCCCATCAGTGACTGACCTAATTCATGATCCTGGCCTCATCTCTGTGCTTGGCTGTTAAACCAGCACAAGGATGATTAGACTAGAATTCCCAGATGACTTTTAAAAGCCTTTGGGTGATTTTGGAAATATAACATTATGGCTGTGACTCTTGTGAGGTCAACTCAATTTGGAGAAGGTTTCCAGACACCTTTGTAAACACAGAAGTCTGAGCTTTCATGATCCCCAAGGAAAAGACTGAGATTTCATCTTAAGACCAATAGTTAAGAATGAGGCTCAAAGAAGCCAGAGTTTAGCAGAGTAAAAGGAAGGGTTCCCCAAAAGCACAGCAGGTTGTATATGGAAGCTATGACTCCTTACTTCTAGAGGTATGCCAACATATGCCTGAGGATACTTAATTAGGAGTACTGCAATGAATGTCCTTTGAGGACCTTGCTAGCCCTGGGATTTCTTGATCTTCTGGGTCTATCAGAGTAAACAAGTAGGAAGAAACACCTTGCCAGACTGACAATGGGCCTGGCAGCAAGGGAGAAGAACCTTGTTGGGGAGGGTTCAGGGATTTTCCAAAGTGAGCTGTAACTCAAACCATGGTTCTGTGGCATGTGAGTCTTTAAGAAGGGCAAGGTTCTCCTTGCTTTCAGAATAATCTACCCAATATCTCTCATCTCCAAAGTTACTTTGAGAAGCAGAAAGCAGAGTGGCAGACAGAACCTCAGGAGCCCCCCATCCCCGAGTCCCTGGCCGCTGCAGCCGCTGCCGCCCAACAACTCCAAGTGGCTAGGAAGCAGGACACTCGGCAGACAGCTACCTTCAGGCAGCAGCCCCCACCTATGAAGGTGAGTGTACTGGGTTCCCCCACCTATGAAAGTAAATGTACTACGTAGGTGTCATTTAAGAAGCAAAGTTTCTTCCCATGGAATGGATCTGTGGGAGACTGGGTCTCAGGGTCTTGGCCCTGTTTACTTTCAATCTTCCTTAAACAATCTTTGTGACATAGATGAAGGGAAGACCATATATGCTATTTTGGACTAATTTGTTTGAATCTTGCATTCTCAGAGTGGTGCAAATTATAGGGAGATTGATGAACCCTCTGAAGTATAATTTCTGAAAGTTAGAAACATGACTCTTAACAAATTTCAATGGGTGTGTGATATAAATAGGAAAACAACAGAATTACAAAGCGGATCCCAAGAGTATTTGAGGAACTGATATGGTTAGGAAAGCAAGGAAATGTTGAAATAAATTTGCAAAGTGTGATACATACCTGGGTTATGTCCTATATAGCAATATAACTGCAATCTTCATGATAACCATTTCTTACTAACAGAATTAATTGCACCTCTGTTGGGTAAAAAACAAATACAAAAATCAAGATGTGATATAGCATCGCAGAATTTTGGCCCTCATCAACAGTGACTAGTCAAAGGGACTTCTCAGGTAGGGTTAGCAAACTACAGCCTGAAGGCCAAGTCTGACTTGCTGGCCATTTTTCTTTAAAGTTATGTTGGTACATATTTATACAAGTTTGTTCATGCATTGTGCATAGCTTCTTTCATATAATAGTTAAATTTGAGTAAATGTGACAAAGACCATGTGGCATAAAAGCCTTGACCTTTACAGAAAAAAATTTCCTTTTACCCCTGCCTTAGAAAATAAAATAATTCTTAGACAAACCTCATAAGGAATGTTCTAGTATAGATGTGAGTGGATATATACTTCTCATTTTGTATTATTTCCAAGTTTTTCACAGGTTTTCTCAAAGACTCCTTTCTGATTTGGGATTGTGTTTTTCACTTCATCTTCTGTGGCCTCCAAGAGTACTGTTCCTACTTAGACCTTATTTGTTATTCAGTGTCTCCTCGTGATGGGAAATCACAACTACTTTCTGGAGCCCTGGAGATCAGAAGTCAGAGCCACAGCCTAAAAGAATCTTATCACTAATGCTCTTTCTCCTATGCCCTCCACCAGGCCTGTTTGTCATGTCACCAGCAAATTCACCGGAACGCACCTATATGCCCTCTGTGCAAAGCCAAGAGTCGATCTCGAAACCCCAAAAAGCCAAAGCGGAAGCAGGATGAATGAAGAGAGGGAGAACACGTGGAGCTGTGCTGATCAGAACCCCTCCCTTTGGCCAGTTATTGATGTCCTGATGTGAAATAACTTGTTCCCAACCCCACTGAGTCTCCTATTTAATGTGATAGAAGCACAACTCTTCTCTCACTTTGCTGTTATTTCTTTCTGCTCTTGGGTTTACTAGTTTAGGAGGAAATGTGGTTCAGGTGCTAATAATGGTGTGTCTGATGATCCTTTCTGTCTCGTCCACATTTCCACTTCTGCCACTGGTTGGAGCTGAAGGAAGGGCAAAAGTCCTCAATGGAATTCTCTGTCTCCTGTGCCTGGGGCCTAGAGCCTGTAGGACTGAGGGCTGGGAGAGGCCATCTCCCTGTACTTTTGCCTTAGACTCTGAAGAGACAGTCTTCTTGCTGGACTTTCAACAGGTTGGGTGTATATCTTTCACTTTTAGGTTCATCTCATCCTTAAGGTCTAGAGGTAGCTTATACCAACCCTCCTTTGCATATTCATTTGGGAGATCTGGCTGTCATTCTGTAGTTTTCCCCACCACATCTCCTGGGCGTACAAAATTTCTTGGAGATCCGGAATTCTGTAGCTCTTTACTTCAAACCTTTATCTTTGCAGACCTGCACTCAGAACTCCCCATGGTGAAATCAGGAAACCAGACCCACTGTACAAGTACTGCCTAACTCACCACCTAAGTCGCTATGGAGGAGGACTCTGCTGAGGGACTGCCTTAGGCTGAGACAAACATTTGTTTTGGCTTTTGGTGTGCACCTCCCCAATGATGTATCAAAGGAGAGGAGTTGATTTACATTCAAGTGCCAATTTCACTTTACCTATACAGGGTAAAGGGTACCCATCCCATCTCTCTCTCTCTCTCTCTCTCTCTCTCTCCATCCCTCCCTCACTCCTTACCTCTTTCTTTCTGTCTCTTATGGGTCTGCCCTCTTCTGTAAAGCAGCCTCAGCTCAGGCCAACTGCTGGCCATTTCATTCCTGTGGATTTTGCAGCTGGTCTTCCCTCCTAAAACAAAAGGACCCTATAATTCTCTTCTCCCTCAAAGCTATGTCTCCTTGTCATGTCACTCTTTAACTTAAAGGATGGGGATGGAGACTGCTAACTGGAAAAGTATTAGCTCCAGGTCTCAACCCCTGGAAGGAGGAGGGGGTATTTTTCCTCCCTTTCTTAGCTGTAGTTTTAAGTTGCCACAGTGTCTGTGTATTCATAAAATAAAATGTTCCTCTGCTCTTTGATAATAAGAGCAATAAATCTCTACAAATTCTTTTAAATAAACATTTGTTCACTGGAGTAAATGCTGACTGAGTGCCTACTGTGTAGCAGATAATATGAAAGATGTATAATTCCATCTACCATTCAGGGTAACACTTTTCTACTCTTACTCCATCTTGCAAATGAAAAAGCTAGGCAGCACAGTGCAATAATTTACTCAGTTTTTATAAATACCTTCCAATTATTCAACACCTATTTTTTTTATATTTTTTAAGCTTTATTTTCATTATTTTTCTTATTGGAAAGGCGGATATACAGAGAGGAGAGACAGAGAGGAAGATCTTCCATCCGATGATTCACTCCCCAAGTGAGCGCAACTGCCGATACTACACCGATCCAAAGCCAGGAGCCTCTTCCGGGTCTCCCACACGGGTGCAGGGTCCCCAGGCTTTGGGCCGTCCTTGACTGCTTTCCCAGGCCACAAGCAGGGAGCTGGATGGGAAGTGGAGCTTCCGGGATTAGAACTGGCGCCCATATGGGATCCCGGGCATGCAAGGCGAGGACCTTAGCCACTGCGCCACCGCGCCGGGCCCTTCAACACATATTTTTGTCAGATTTCTATGCAGACACTTTATATAAATGATCATATTTGATTTTCACAACAATTCTTACAAACTAAGTGCTTTTATTGCGGTTTTCAAAAAAAAAATAGGAAACTGAACATTGCAGGCATTTACTTATATAGAGTGAAACAGCTAATAATAAGAATTTTGAGTTTTGAAGTCAGATTTGTCTGATTGCAGAACACTTTTTTTTTCTCCATGAACATTTTTTTGTGTGTGTTGCTGTTTTAACTTTGGTCCTTTTGGGAATGACTTGAATAGTGGGGATGGTTAAAATAATTCTGGGCCTGAAAGGAACAACTAGGTATCCTGTGACTGATGTGAGGATATAAAGGTCCACTGTCCTGTATGAATATAATACAGAGGTGTCCTAGCTTCAAAGCTCCCAATATGGTAAACTGAGGCTGCCATCAACACTACATGGCAGGTCAACAATCTTTCTCTCTGTTCAATCCTAATCCTTTCCTGAATCTTTTATTTTTCCCACCTGTCTATTCCCTTCCTTTGTGTTAATCCCCAAGGGATATTTAATTAATATCCTGTCTACCAAGTTGTCTTAGTGCCTCTCAAGAAACCCAATAGATGACAAAAACCTCTCTGTGCCTCAGTGATCTGTTATGGAAGATGGGGAAAATAATAGCAGCCTTCAAAGAGGTTGTTGTGAGCAATTCTAGGCACACAGAAAGAAATAAGTGTCGGTCTCCTTCTCTGCCCTGTATCTCTGAGATTGAGACAATGGGATGACCCTTCAGAGGAAAACTGATTCATCTTGCCTGACATTGCATCATCACCCCAGATTTGCTTTTTGAATTCTCCAGGTTCACTTTGGGCAAAGGGGGGCACAGTTGGTCAATGGGAGATATACCCTAACCTGTATGAGTCTCAGTATATCACCATAAAGTATAGGGCATTTTTTTTCTGCATCATTGGCACAGTAGAGATTAAGTCTGTCGATTCTGCTGTAGTGAAGGTAACAAGTCTTGAGCTCTGAGGTGAACCTGTTCCTAGGGACCCTTCTGAATGAGAAAGGAGTAATTGCGTATTGAGCACTTTGACTTGCCAACCACTTGGTATGGTATTAATGTCTCATTTAGTGCTTTGGGTTCATTTATCTACTGCTATGAAACAAACTACTCCAAAACTTAGTGGCTTCAAGCAATCACTATTCATTTGCTCATGATTCTACAATGTTTTAGTAGGACTGGCTGGGAATGGCTCATTTCTATTGCATGTAGTATTGCTTCAGGTAGCTTAGGTGGACCTGGAGGATCCAAGATTGGTGGACCTGGCAGTTCAGCTGGGGTGGCTAGAACAGCTGTTCAATCCCCTTTTGTAGTCTTTTATCCTACAGGCTTTTTTTTTTTTACCCCTACAGTTCCTTTCCATCGGGGCCCACCTGAAATTAGACTAGACTGTGAAACTAAAACTAGGAGCCCAAAAAAGCCTCCTTCCTTCCAAATTAGCTCATTTCAAGTATTTGTTATATGATTACAAGCTGAAAATTCTTACAATTTACATTTTGTGGTTGTTTGGGGGATTAAATAAACTAACATTTATAAAGGAATATTGAAGGTATTTATTTGAATTTTGGAAGAAATTCTAAAGTCTTTAGGATAGGATTTGTCTGCAACAGTCAGTTGCACATTTCAAAACAACTAGAGGAGCAGAGCTTAAAATTTATCAACACCAAGAAATGATAATGTTTTAGGATATAGAAATTATGATGAATGATTTGATCTATACACATTGTACACATGTATTATGCATACATGTATCATTGTATACAATTGCACATATGTATCATGTGTGCTATAATATCATATATAATAATATCATATATATAACTTAGAAAGCAAATATTAAAATACAACTGAAGTACAACAATGAAATCTCAGTAGCAATACTCAGTGTCTTAAATATATTGATAAGTAAATTGAGGCTCACAGAATTCAAACGTCTTCAAATTTAGATCTGACACTACTACCCTACGAAAGTACAAAGAAGAGCATCTGGCACACACACAAGAGTTTTCCTTGACACTTCATGGCTTCTTCTAGACTCAGAGTCTGAAGCTTGAATGCGAACCTTGTCTTGCTCAGAGTCAATGGAGAGAGGAGGGAAACCAAGGTAAATGCAAACTCTCATTTCAATAGGAAACCACTGGAGTTGCCTTTCACTACTCAGGATAGCCTTTACTCTTTTGGAAGGGCCATTTTGGTGGTTTCCCTGCCCTGCTTGTTTGTTTTCATTCTACTCTATGAACTAAGCTCCCAGAGGACAAATCTTGCTCCATCTGCCTAGACAGTCTTCTTTGCAAGGAGTGGTTGGGCTGCTGAACCTGGGAATACAGGCTTGTAGAAGCACATTGTAGATAAGTATCTTCTAATAAGTATTTCTCATCTGGCTTTCACGTGCAACTTCCATAATTGAAGTGGAGACATTAAAGAGAACTTCCAAAGGTCATTTAATGACATGCCCCCCCTCCCTCACCAGGCAAATTTTTAATCCAAATAAGCCTGAAATTGAGAAGCAGAATAAACAGGGGATGTAAGGAAGGATGTCACCAATTGCTCAATCTCAGGCTTGCTTCCTTCTAGCTGCCTTGACGTGAAACCAATGACATGAAGAAGGTGTCTTTTCAGGAGAGACAGAACTAGCTCCAAGTCAGTGCAGCTACATAATATCCCTTTGTGGTCAATGGCATTCTAATGTTTTGTTACTTCTGTTACACACACGCACAGACACACTTGCATACACATTCACCATTACTCTCTGGGCTCCCTCATTCCACCCCACTGCATTCTTCCTCCCTCATTCCCTAGCCTCAATATTATGCATCACCATTTGTGCTCGAGGGAATTCATGAATGGAGGGGGGAAAGGTATTCCCATTGCTGCAATTTTTTTTCCCCACAGTTTTCCTTAACCTTCTTTACCCTGACATTTCTTGAAGGCTTAATCATGTCAAATGCATCCCACTATCCTACTATACTGAGCATTGAAGATGTATGAGAAACATTTTCCTACAGCCACACCTACCCTGCTCTTTGGTCTCTGGACCAGTCAAAACCAATCCCTTCACCTTTGTTTGCATCTGCCCTTTCTTGCTTCCTTCTTACACAGTCTGCTAATTGTCCATCTTCTTTCCCTCAATACCAAGTATTACCGCTGATACTTTTCTTTTGAATTTGGACAAGATCAAGTAGTTCTCTCATTTTAGAAAAAACAAATCAAAACAAAAGAAACAAAAGGGAATGCAGCAGAGGGAAAGGGAGTGAAAGGGGAAAAAAGAGAAAAGAAACTTAAGACTCTGTCTTTCGCATCCTATCCTCTTAAGTCTTTCATCCAAATTTCCAGATATCAAGATATTTTATTCCCACTTTCTTTTTCTTTAAAGATTTATTTATTTTTATTGCAAAGTCAGATATACAGGCAGGAGGAGAAACAGAGAAAGATCTTCCATCCAATGATTCACCTCCACAAGTGACCACAACAGCCGTTGCTGTTTCGGAGCCAGGAGCGAGGAGCCAGGAACTTCCTCCAGGTCTCCCACTTGGGTGCAGGGTCCTAAGGCTTTGGGCTGTTCTCAACTGCTTTCCCAGGCTGCAAGCTGGGAGCTGAATGGGAAGCAGGGCTGCCAGGATTAGAACCGGTGACCATATGGGATCCTGGCGCTTTTAAGGCAAAAACTTTAGCTGCTAGGCCACCACACATGGCCCTGTTCCCTGTTCTTTAATTCTGCATTCCCATCCCCAACCATATAGCTTACTCCTTTGGAAGATCTCAAGTAAGTTTTGCTTTATGAGCACTAATCGATTTGAATAAAGCCTGCTTGGTAATTCTTTCTCTGTTGTGTCAACTGTTCCTACACTGTTAATACTGCTCGGCCTTTTGCAATTTTTTATTATAGGTTCTTCCTCCCGGCATAGCCATTCTTGGAGACCCTTGTGCTTCCTGGAG